AGAGATAAAAAAGAATATGTCTTCACTCAAGAAATTCATTCAAAAAGAAGCAATGAAGATGGAAGAGATAAAAAGAATATGTCTTCACTCAAGAAATTCATTCAAAAAGAAGCAATGAAGATGGAAGATAAAAAAGAATATGTCTTCACTCAAAAAATTCATTCAAAAAAGAAGAAACAATGAAGATGGAAGAGATAAAAAAATATGTTTCACTCAAGAAATTCATTCAAAAAAGAGAACTCTGAAGATGGAAGAGATGTCAAAGAATATGGCATCAAAAAATTCATTCAAAAAATCTAAACTATCAGCTGTAAGAACTTGAATCATGTTCTTATATAGCCATGTCAGTTCTCAACTCTCATGTGGATGTCATGCATGGCATCCAATTCATTCAAAAAATCTAAACTATCAGCTGTAAGAACTTGAATCATGTTCTTATATAGCCATGTCAGTTCTCAACTCTCATGTGGATGTCATGCATGGCATCCAATTCATTCAAAAACTATAATCTGTTAAAATGGTTTCAAGAAAATGGATCCTTCAGATATTAAAGGAGACAATTTTTATCAGACTTTATAGACTGGTGTTACAAAATTATATATAAAGTACCTTAACAAATCACAAAAACTATATCACTTAAAGACTTCCAACAGCAGCAATATAGCTATATTGCTAAATTTGAATGACTCCTATTGGTTACCCTCCTTAGAGGAAGTGTTCTCAGTTATTATTCATTTTTGATTAATTTATTCCATCTTCATTTCGCTTGCTTTTTGTTGCAACTTCCAGATCATTTTATATATATATATATATATATATATATATATATATATATATATATATATGTTATATTCTGTGGTAAGGGAATAAATACTTAACACCAGGTAGATAATAGAAGAAAGGTTTATTGTACACAACTAGTACAAAATGAAATACAGTACAGTTATACACACAGGTCATTCTAGTAGGGAGTGCCACTATTTGGAGGGTCGGACGTGCTTGAATCATCTCGCTCTTGCTCTTCCCTGAGTCTCTCATAGACAGTTGACTTTATAGGTACTTACTACCTAGTGTAATCATTCATGGGGGTAAGTGGTTATTCCATTACATCATATATATATATATATATGTATATATACACTCAAGAAAAAAACAACTATGTTGGTGTAACCAACAGACAATTTGCCAGAAGACCTAACACCTTAGACATGACAAAATTCCAAACAAGTAAAGAAAAAAAAAAGACCAAATGGCAAACACCTGCCTACTCAAAAAAGTACTCAATGCACAGATTATCTCGACAGAGTAAAAAATGCTTCACAACCTCAACACATAACAGAAGGATGGCTTTAATTGTTACTTGAGTTCATACTCATGTGAACTTTAGGCGACTAGAACAGTCTAGGGTGTTCTAGTTGTCTGAAGATCATGAGAGCAGGAAACTCCAGTAATGACTCGGTCTGTATCTCTGTTATATATTCAGAATGTTGAAATAATAAATTCTAAACTCTTCAAATACTTTGGTGTATGGATCAGTAGCTAAGAGTGAATTTGAAATTGGGGCATTCAGTTCAAGATAGGAGAGAAATCTAAGAAAATTGTAAAATCAACAAATAACAATGTATTTGAAGTTTATTTATAAATTAATTCAATTCTTCATTTTGTTTTGGCAAATTCATTGACTGCTTTGTTGTAAAAATAATATCAGTATCCCACTCTACGTTTGTCTTCGATATGTCCGGAAAGGGATATCTTTATTCGAAGTAGCAAAGTGGTTTTGGTCTACTGTAACCAGGTAGGACAATCTAGTAGGTAACCATAATGGACTGGTCTTCATCGTTGTGATGTCCGCGCAAGTATAAATAGAACCCGCTCGGTTGAGGTGGGGACTCTTCAGTATACAGCAAACCTGGCGACGAGGATGTAACAATTTAACAAGCTTTGAATTAACGAAACACTACCCCCTCAACAGCAAAGAAAAAAATACCCGAATTCAACAACACAAGTAAAACTTTGAATTAACATATATACAGCAAAATTGTAGTGGTAGGCAATAGGCGTCGTCAATAGGCATCTTCCTCAGTCTGTATTTATGGCTGACACCAGCCAATCATATTACTGCAAGGGGGAACCCAGGTGTATGCATATTCATTACATCAATCTTCTTCAAATGGTTTATATTGATGGAATTCAAAGCCAAACTACACAGTCTATTTTCAGATTGAGAAAAAGAAACAGCAGTGAACTCTATTTTTTTTTTAAACTTTTCTTGTTCACTCAGTTGAAAATAATAATAATGGTTTAATCAAGATGTTGACTTTCCAAACTTTTTTCTATATTCACCTGTGAATAGTTGTTTATATACATACCATAATTCCCCATGTATAATACGCTTTTATCCACAATATACACCACTAAAATTGTGCTGAAAGTGTAGGAAAATGCTTCTACTCACGCATAATATGCATCCCTTGTTTAGAACCTGTAACTAGAAGTTAAAATAATGATATAATCAAGATGTTGACTTTCCAAACTACCTTAAACAAAAGGTTTGAAAGGAAACTCCCATCATTATTAGAAAAAATATAACAGTAGAAAAATTGAAAGAAAGGAAAAAGATGCTAATTGTTCAGTCACTGAATGTCAAATGTTTCCTGTATGGAAACAACTAATCACACCATTTACCGAAACACCTCTTTACAACTGCTTGGTCTCACACTGTCCACTAACCTGAGATGTGAATAATTACATTCAATCAATAGCTTCATCCACTCTAAGGAAAGTTGGTTCCCTGTGTCATGCCAAAAAATTTTTCTTGCCTGAGTCCATTCTTCAAATCTTCAAATCAACCATTTGCCCTTGCATGGACTACTGCTGACATATATGGTCTGGTGCCCTCGCTTTTCACTTTAAGGTCCTCGACAAGATCCAGAGACGGATAAGCAATGTGGTTGGTCCTGATCTGGCATCTCATCTTCAGTTTCTCTCTCACAGACGTGCTGTCACCTCCCTCTGTCTTTTCTACAAATACTTTCACGGTAACTGCTCTGACGAACTACTGCCACTAGGTCCCAGACTGCATGAATTTAAGTGTGCTACTAGGCTGGCATCATGGTCCCACCCTTTCACTGTCAAAACGGTTAAATGTGGTCGTCTCTTCTACTCCAATAGCTTCATGTCTTGCACCTGTGGAATTCCCTTCCTATGACTTGTTACCCTGATAGCTATAATCTCCAACTATTCAAATGTTTTGTCAATCGACATCTCAAGATGCCCTGAACTATCCCCTGCCCTTCTGTTCATTCTTTCCTCCATTGCACCTCTTTACTCTCGCATCCACTCTGTAACCCCTAAATAATTAAGAGCACAAAAAATAATTTAACATTAAATCAGAGGTTTATTTTTTGTGGGTTGGGGGCAGTCAATAATTTTAGTATGCAATCAATAATTTTTGAAAAGTGCCATTTCAATGATGAGAGTTGTTTGGATGACTATTATATTGCATGTCTTTTCAGGGTATGGAAGGTTAGGGTTCACCACAACTTTCTATCTTTAGGTGCTCTAGGTAACTTCTATCCCTTTTGTGCTCAACTTTGTTATTATTGTTACTTTTGTTAAAGTCTTCATACATTTGTCAGTAATCATACTTATTATAAAACCCAGGTTGTGTGTGTGTGTCTGTACGTTTATATATTGGATCGAATTTCCTATATTTTTCAACCGATTTCAACAAAACTTCACAGGACTACATAAAATTACCTTTTTCTGGTTCTGATAGAATGCAAAAATTGGAAAAACACAATTATTTTTTACAAAAAATCAATTTAAAAACACAATTAAGAGGCATCACTTTTGAGAAATGAAAAAAACAACTCATATCGAGTTATACTTATTATAAAACCCAGGTTGTTTGTGTTAGTGTGTGTGTTCGTTTATATATGGAATCGGATTACCTACATTTTTCAACCGATTTCAACAAAACTTCACTTTTTTTTTTTAATAGTGTTTCTTATTGTCTTGAACACTTTTTTATTATTTTTACATTCAGAATGCTTTAAAAATTCCATTTACAAGACAATTGTTTATAATAAAATTCTATTCAATCGGTAGACTCATAACGATTGAAAACAATGTTTTTGTTTGAGTTTGGGTTTGACCAATTCTTAATTAAGACATGCGTGTCCATCAACCTTAAACAATAATCTTTGTCAATTTTATTTTTCAGTCTTTATGATGGTGGATACTTGATCTGTCTCTTACTGTTACATCACCGGGCAACGCCGGGCTCTACTGCTAGTTATTGTTATTGTGGATGTGAGGCCGAGTGGTTAGAATGTTCACATTCTGACCATAAGACCTGGGTTCAAATCTCACCATGGTAGATTTGTCAGGAAAGAGACTTCTTGATGTTATTAGACTGGAGGTGTCGATGTCAACGTGTGGCACCTTTGGAAAGTGTCTGAAAACCATTGACCCAAGCCTTGTGAGTGAAATTGGATAGACAGAATCCTTGGGAGTTGTCGATAGCTGTGGTAGCACAAAGTCACAAGTCATCGTGGCCGAGGGCTTGAGCATACTACTGACATTGTTCAAATTGGTGATCACACTAGATAACATGTTCTTTCCCAGAAACTGTAACTAAGGTCTGCACAGCATAGTTGCAGTATAAACCACAGGTGGGCTCTGTGGGTGTTGAATAAATACAAATGTGCCTGAGCAAGCGTCTGCAATAGGGATTGGCTACCCCCCCTCCTAGTAGACAGGTATCCTTGAATAAAATGACCAGCTATACAATTGTTATTATAATTATTATTATTATATATGTGTTTATTTTAAAATTTGGTTTGTTCTTTATTCTTTTTCAGGTTAATATGTTATCTTATGAATGTCCATTTCTTAATGGGCTTCTTGATTAAGATCAGTGTGTAGTATCTGTTTCTGATCTTTGATATATTCTTTGGTTACTTTACAAATAGTTATTATTTATTTATATTTTCCAGGTGGTATCAAAAACTGCTGGGACTGCTTTGCATGAAGCCGCGTTCTTCTGCAAATTGGACGTTGTGAAACTGCTTCTTGAGCGAGGTAAGTTTATTTAATTTCAACTCACTCTTATACACATGGTAAGATGAATTTCTTATTTTTTAAATATGTGTACTATTATTAGGTTGGTGCAAAAATAATGACTTAATAATGTCGTTTTTTAACGTATTTTGTAACGTCAAAAAATGACATTATTTAATCATTATTTTTTAAATAAAATTTAATATTTTGTATGACTTTTCTATGAAGGATTAAATTTTTGTATTTGATTTGATTTCTTAATCTTCTTGGTTAAAATTCGGAAATGCAATGAAGGAGAGAAGGAGTTCAATTAGTTATTGCTATAATATCACAAGGATTGGAAGAGGTTAGGGTGAGAATGAGAAGATACAGGCAAAGTTTGAGAGAAGAGCAAGGCAGGACTTTATGGATAATCTTCTTAAATAAATAACCAACAAATTCTGTCTGTCGGTGTGTCTCAAAGCCCTATAACTCAGGCCAAACTTGCTCTACATAGGCATATTACACCTTTTTAGAATCAGGATGATCCCAGGATTGAAAATCTGTCCTTCATCTAGTGCTTGAATATCCAGCATTGGGATTTGTGTCCAGATGAGGAGGAATTAGTTAAAAATTTAAATTTTAAAATAACTGAAAAAAAAATAGTGATTTTAAAAGTTTTTAATTTATATTGAGTTTAAAGTAACATTAGTTAGTTTAATAATTTATTAATTAAAAAAAATTTGTTTTAAATTCAGTTTAAAATATTTCCAAAATTTTGTGAATTGAGGAAATCAGTTTCTTCAAAAAGATAAGGAATCAGAGTTAAAGAGAGAGGTTTTGTGGCATAAGGTTTTGAAGTTCTGCAGAGTTTGTAATTTGAAGAAGTCAGTCCATTTGATTTTCCATTGAGTTTGTGATGTGAAGAACTCCATTTTCATCCTGCATTTGAATATCAGCCCAAATCACAGGTAAACTGAAGTTTTGTAGTTCCATGGAGTGAATTGAGGAATTCAAAGTTATTTCTTCAGAATTATCATTGCTGTTTTCTAAGCTGGATGAGAGGTCTTTTTAATTTTGGTCTAGAGGTCCAATTAGCCCTCTGCATGAGCGAGCTAAAAAAGTCCACACGGAATGCAGCTTTTAAGCTAGTTATTGATAAATGATTGATATGAAATCTCCAAAATAAAGTATGTCTGATGGAATCTGGGAAAACCAGTTGGCTGTTTAAATTTTTATTTAATTTCTTGATAGGGTTTTGCTCTAGATGAGCATCTTTAAAACAAAATACCGAAAACCTTTGGCTAACACAATAATACAAACTCATCAATCAGATTAATTAAACTTTAAATCAGTTAATATTCTTCAAATAAAGTTTCAGAAAAGTATATTTTATTTTTGAAAGAATTTTTAATAAACAGAATTAAACTGTGATGAAAGATGGCCAAAAATGGCACTAAAATCAGCAATTTCAGTAATTCAAAATGAAAGATCCTTCCAGTTAAGTTAGTTTTGAAATACAGAAAGTTGTTTTGCATATTGGATATATTAAATTTAATCTGTCTATATTTCTGAGATGAGGTATTATTTACACTATTTATATTATTTAGGCTATTGTCCTCATCTTTAAAATCAAAACCATATTTATTACAAATGAGTTTTTTTTGTTGTGTGACCCATCTTTCTTCAGATGGTTGGAATGTTAAATTGAACCCTTTATTTTGTTCATTTGGCAGACTGTTCTAGTTCCACATATTAAGATCCTGTTAATTCCCCTCTGCAAGTTCTCCACTGCCTTGAACTTACCTAGAACAGTCTACCCCAGTGAGCTAAAATAAAGGTTTGGGATTTTTTGTATTCCAGCCAAATTGCTAGAAGGCCAGAAAAATTTTTAACTCAATGATATGTTTAGTTCACATGAGATATGACACATTCAGTGGAGGAGGGACGTATTCAACAAAAAATCGAAAATTACTTTTTTCACTTCAAATTATTCATTATATTATATACAAGTATTTTACAAAAAATTAGATTGAAATTATCCAATATTTCAAACTCAATTTAGGTTTATAGTTCATAACCATGGAATGAGATAAGGTAACAAACTGTAGATTTGTCTACAGAATATCATTACATTATTGTTACGTAATTAAAGTGAAATCATTAAGGTTTTATTTGTCAAAAGTATTTTATTTTTGGTTGTATGCTAATTTAAAATATTCCTTTTTACAGACTTTAATTTTTAAATGGTATAAGATCATTCTAAATTTTAGTATTTCGCAATTTTTTATCAAAATGAATAGAAGAAAGTGATCTAAAAACAACAATGGAAAAGAGAGGTAACAAAGCATAAATAAAATATAGCTCCAGTTTGTTCAACTTAGGAAACTTAGCATTGCAGCCAAAGTATTCTAATAACAAAGGAGAAAATGAAAAATACCTAACAAATCAAATATAGCATCAAAATTTATATTATTTTTATTTATTTGTGATGTAACTAAATACATAATTGTTAACAACGTCTCCGTAAAACTTGATATTTCTCGTAATAAATTCTTAATAAATATTATTATTGTTATTATTTTATTAAGTGTAAGGTAATCCTACATTTACAATTCCTTACGGCTAAGCATGAAAAGAAATATTGATTAAAATGACTAAAACATTTTATATATATTTTCACTTGAAATTATCAAATGTTGAATACGCTTCTCCTCTATTCACTCGGTCATTATGATTGGGACACTAGCAAAGTACATAAGATCAACCAATGGACTGTCACTGCTGACCGGGAAACACAGGAGAGTGTCTATTTATAGATACACAGTATGTTCTATGTAAGGCCCTTCAATTTCATTCTCATCATATATTAATAACTTGATACCTTCTGGAGAATCCGTATATATTTTCCATTTTGTCTCATTTATATATATATATATATATATATATATATATATATATATATATATATATATATTAACAGTAATTTGATTTTGCTAAACCAGACACTGTAAATAAAATGGTATAGCGTGTCAATATCAAATGAAAAAATCTTCATATAGGAATATTTTTTTTGATTCCTGTTGGAGAATGCATATTTTCTACAAAATTTCTTGAACATTCAGGCCAGTAAATCTAATTAATACTGTTTAATTAAAAACGGACCATTTACTTAAGCAAATTGTCTTTAAAATTATGTAAACAGAAAATATATTAAATAATTGTTGAACTTAATCCATTTCATTATATATATATATAATGTATATATATATATAGATAGAGAATATATATATATATATATATATATATATATATATTTTTATAAAAGGGAATGTTGATCAAAACTGCCTAAAACCTTTAAGTATATACTGCCACAAAATTATCAAATGTTGAATATGCCCCTCCTTTACCAAATGTGTCATATATTCCAAGAAGTCATCTAATTCACAAATATTAAAGAAAAGGAAGAACTTGCACCCTGAAGTGATAAGGCATAAAAAAATAATTACTAATAATTTATTGTCAATTTTAAATATATATAAAATTATCTCTATTATAATATTTTATAATATCTATAATTCAATTATTATGTGTACAAATATATTCCCCAATAGAAAATGAACCATTAGGTTAATAATCCAAAGTTCTTTAAAATTTTTAATTTAAAAAAAATATTGCTCAATACATAAATATGAAAATTTAAATTATAATTTTGATTCTTTTTAAATATTATTAAGAGTTTTTGGGTTTCCAAAAAATCATTAAAAAAATTTGAATTTCTCATAAAATCCTCTTTTTTTATAATTGTTTTATCTTGAAATTTATTCTTTATTTTTTATTTCAAGATTAGTTATAAAAATTTGGAAAATTTGCTTCAATATTTTTCTAGCAAGCTTTTTTTTAAACAAATTTTTTTTAATTTAAAAAATATTATTTCAATGATTGAATCAAGTTATTTTTAAAAAAAATATTTATAATTCAATTATTTTTATATATATATATATATATATATATATATATATATATATTATTATTATATATTATTATTATTATATAATTATCCATATATTATCTCTATTATAATTCTTATTTAAAAATTTTCCAAAGGATTTCAGAGTAGGAGGCGAGAACAAAAGAGGAATGATAGAGGAAAGGATGAAGAGATGGTTCATTATATCCTTTTCATCTGGAGCCATTTTTTAACATTACATTTGAATAGTTGGAGATTATAATTATCAGGAAAGCAATAAATGGAGATTTTAGTTCCATGGGTGAAAAATGTGAGACATTTTATTGGAGTAGAAGAGACACTACATTTAACAGTTTCAACATATAGGGTGAGAAAGCAGATGCCAGACTAGTTGAAATTTTTTTAAATTTATGAATCTGAGAACAAGTGAAAGTTTAACCTAGGGATTGATGAGGAATTTTACCATGAAAGTATTGGATTATTCTGTTCTCTCCCACCCACCATATTCACCTGAGTTTGCACAATCCAATTGTTACCTTACTCAATGAAAATCAGTTTTTTCTTGAAATTCTTTTTTCAAACAAATTTGCAAAATTTTTTTCATTTTATATCAAGGAAAAATCCTAATGTATTTTACAAGACATTGCAGCTAATGATGAATGTATCATTGAAAACAAAGGAATTGTACTTTATTTCTTTGAAGAATAAAGTTGTTAAAAAAGAGTAGAAATTATTTATGCCTCAACTGAATGTTTTAAAATCTAATTAACTTGTTAATTAAATATTAGGATTAATCTGTGAATTGCATGAAATTCCAAATTATTTCTAGATTAAAAGAGGTATATAATTACTGGTTTCTGGAAAATTGATGGTTTTTTGTCTGTACAGTATTAACATTCAGAAAAAAAGAATAGAAAATTATTTATGCTTCAACTGAATGTTTTACAATCTAATTAACTTGTTAATTAAATATTAGGATTAATCTATTAATCACATGAAATTACAAATTATTTCTGGATTAAAAGATATATATAATTATTGGTTCCTGAAAATTGATGTTTTTTTTTCTTGTACAGTATTAACATTCAGGATCTCTATCTATAAAAGGCAGGATGTGTGTGTGTGTGTGTGTGTGTGTGTGTGTTATCGCCAGAATGCAATATTATGAATTTTTTGATGACGTTGCATCAAAATTTACATGCACATGCTCCAAGTTAGTGGGAAACTTTTGAGACTGACTTTTGTATTTCCCAACTCCCATCGATAGTGGAAATAATCGATTTTTTTTTGCTTCTACGGCAGTTTTCATGTAGTTTGTGGCCATTTTGTACTGGCCAGAGTGAAAGCCTATATAGCTGGCTGCCAAAATAGGCAGGAAGATTCTATTGGCCAGTGTGAGAGCCAACAGCTGACTTACATGAATGTTAACTAGCATGCTAGCATGCAAAAAAAAAAAATAGCTGCATTCGTCACAAGTGAGAAAAATTTAAATCTGCATGGCACTTTACTCCAATTGGCTCATTCACTTGCTTAAACTCAACATTGATTCTGATTCCACAGAACTGGGTTGGGTGTGAAAAAAGTATTTGTTGTTAACATTCTTTTTTTCATTCGGTTTTTCCAGTTACGAGTCCTTTTTTAAAGCTGATCATTTTGTGTTCATTTTGTTTAGTTCTTTTTTTCGAACAGATTTAATATTTAGTATAGAGCTTAAAAAAATTCACAGTGTGAGATAGGCAAGAAGTAAGGCATGTTTTACATCAACACGACAAAGGGCACTCCTTTAAAAGGCAAGGAAAGGCAAAAATATTTTAAGTCAAAGTGATAGCTTTTGCTATGTATGAGTCATAAATTTTTGAATCAAAAATATATTTATACCTTTATGCTATAGAATAGAAATAAATAAAAAATTAATTGTACATGGGACCATTTTATTTTTATGTTTTTTATCTATTACTTTCAGGTATTGATGTCACTGAAACGGATTCCCAGGGACAGACAGCCCTCGATCTGATAAATTCTTATCGTTCTCAGAAATACAACCAGGTTAGCTCTTTGATAATAGGTAAGTACATTTTTTTATTATAATTTCTGATGTGAAATTTAAGACAAATTTGTTTGTTATTTATTCATCATTGTACTTCTTTTTTTTCTATGTGCTGTGTCCTTTCAGCAATGTAAATGATCATGAAATCTCCAATTCCCTCCCTTTTTTGCAAATCAACAAGTTCCTTCTCTCTGCCCCCCTAATATATTTCTGTCATCCAAGGTAAATAAGGATCTTGGTATGCCATGTGTTATTTTCCCTTGTTTCTCTTTCCCTCTATTCGACCTGTGAGTATCAGATTCTCCAGGCCCTCCTTCCTCCTTATGTGTCCTTATGTGTCCCTCTTCCTGATGTTAAGTATAAGCCTCCTCCTTGTTTGCATCCTCTCTAAGACCTAGTCGTTGCTCACATGCTCTGTCCATGATATCCTTAGCATCCTTCTGTAGAATTGTCGCCTCAAGTCTTTTCTTTGAGGAAATCATCCAACATTCTCTGCCATAAAGAAGGACAGATGTCATGTAACAGCTTCTTTTGATAAAAAAAAACAGCATTGCCATGTCTATTATGTCTATAATGACCTGTCTAAGTTCCAGTTTATCATGTCTGTTTTTTAAATGAAGTTTCCACCTTCTGAGCTTAATTTTCTATTTAGCATAGATCTGTCATTTAATTGGTTGATGAAGACCAACCCACAAGTCTATTTTTAATTCTGACCTTGTGTTTTCTCACCCCCACCTTATCTTTCAGAAAAGAGGTAACACTTTGCTTTTAAATCAGCAGTCACTTACCATCACTTGAGGAAGCACAAAATAGTGCTGAAACGTGAAAGCTTTGTGTAGCTATTTCAATGTTTTTGTTCTAATATCTTATATATATATATATATATATATTATAATAAAATTACATAGATACATATAGTATTAAGTTGTAAGAGTATTTAGGTGCTAAAACTGCTGGTTCTTTTAAATTTATTTACTCTCTGGGAAAAATATTTTTAGGCAGGCAGTTTTTTCATATTCAATGCTTGATATCAAAAACTATTTATAGGCTGTTAATATATAAACTCGTTATTTAATTTAAAATCTCTCTCCCTATATATATATATATATATATATATATATATATATATATATATATATATATATATTATATATAGTTATTAGGCAGCAATTTTTTCATTAATGCATGTTTCATTAAATAATATAGACAAGTTTTGTCTATTTATTTTAAGTAAGTTCCTTTCATATTGTCTGATAAAATTTAAAAAGACATTGTTGAAAAGACGAAAATAAAAAATACCATATTGATTACATAATTTCTATAAAACCCATCACACCACAAACTCACTTTCATGGCACTTGACTCTACATTTAAATGATAACTCTAACATTTTTAGACCTTTAAAACGACATACCTGCCCACGTACTCAATTCCAGAAAATCCTTGTTGACCACACACTATACTTAAACATGAAAACAATAAACAAAAACTAAAAATTCTTGAAGCTTTATACATAAAACAGCTGAAACCTAACCTGAACAAAATAAACTATGAAATCTCCACAAATATTCTTAAATGCCTATAATTTATATACAGAAGCCATTGCTTTATATCAATGGCTTCCCATACTTAATACTTCTCATTTGTCACTCTTACGTGGTCATGTGTGATGTCATGAGCTGCAACGCAATTTTCGCTTCCGTGTCTCATATATACAAGTTTGTTGTTACTTGGAAATTTTCATGCAGCAAGGTCGGACTATCATTGTTGTTTCATCCGTTGTTGTTTGATTTATTGAAATTGTCATCTTTGATAATGGCTTGTATAAGCCGAAAGCTTAGATTGGATTTAAACATGTAACAATATAGTGTTTTCCTTTTGTCTTTCAATGATAATGTTATTAAGCTTATCAGACAATATGAAAGGAACTTAGAATAAATAGACAAAACTTGTCTATATTATTTAATGAAACATGCATTTATATATATATATATATATATATATATATATATATATATATATATATATATATTTACATTGTTCAAACTGTTGTCCTCATCTTTATTGTCATATTCACAATGTTTTGGTCGTTGTATTCTCCAGCCATCTTCAGGTGACATATGTTGGAATTTTGAACCAAACCCTTTATTTAGTCCATTTGTAATATTTCTGATTCCATTATGAAAATATGCCTTTTCTGATATCTTAGTATCGAAAAATTCCCTTTATTTTCTCAACTCCCAAAAAGGGTTGAACATTTTAAAAATTCCTGGTGACATGATTCCTGGGCAGCTGGAGAAGCTGGTAGGGAAATCTGGTGCCCATATTAAATTTTAAAATAAATCTCATGCTAAACACTTTTTTCTCATCCTCTCATATCAATTTCTTGTAAAAATTATAGTTAATAAATAAATTATAAGTATTTTAAAATGGAGAGTTACTTTTCAATGATACTATATAGCTGGCCTATTTTATTTTTTGATTTGATTTTATTTTTAATAAATCCAGGGTGGATAAATAATCCCTACTGCAATGCTTGCTCAGGCAAATAAAAAATCCAGCTCCCAAGTATACTGCAAAAATGCTGATATATATATATATATATATATATACATATTAGTCATCCACAGACAGACTGTTTTGCTGTATCACAGCTCATCAAAGTTTTTGGCTTTTAAATCCAAATTGCCTTTTAATTAGGATTATTTACCTGACTGAATTGGTGTCAATCAGAGATTCTACCACTAAAATTGGAACACAGTAGGGATGGAGGAAAATTTAAAATATTTTATTTTTAGATAAAAACACAGTGACTGAAAGAACTTTTTTCCAATTAAAAAAGAGTCTTGCATTAATAGCCGTTTAAAGACTGAATTCAAAAAAAAAAAATTTTTCCTCCCCAAAGAGCAAAACTGAAATAAATTTTTCAGAAAAATATATATATATATATATATATATATATATATATATATATATAAGAATAATAGAAAACATAAACAGGTCTAAGTTACAGAGAACCAATATTATTTATGAATTCACATGCCCCTTCAGAAACTTATGAAACCAAATTCATGAATAATTATATTGGGCACACCACTACATACTTATCAAGAAAACTCATGTTACACCTCTTTTACCATAGGTCAATTAGGATCCATTTAAATACACTGTACTGGGTATGATGATAAATTACATCCGCGTCCTGGGTAAGACGATAAACTACTTCCAGCAGCAAGGCTTCTGATCAGAAGGTTTTGAGGAGCATGGAACCACCTCTTAATTGCTGGTATTCCCTGTTAGGGTCCCAGCTATGGGCAAATAGTTAACCCCCCCACTGGGCTAAAAATGGGTTTTAATACTAGGAATACTTTGTAAAAAAAAAAAAAAAAAAATTATTAGCAATAAATTTTTGGAAAAAAAAATATTACCAACAACACATTTTTAAAAATATAATACCAGCAATACTTTTTGTGAAAAAAAATTATTACCAGCTATACATTTTTGAAAGAAAAAAATTATTACCAGGAATAGATTTTTTTTTTCATATTACCAACAATAAAAAAAAAAAAAATTAAATAATCCATTTTTTTTGATATTTATTTTAAAACACAACAAACCAAACCAAATCAAACCATTTAAACACACATGGAAACCTACCAAACTCCATCTGCACCATACTTGTAGAAAATACAAGTATAATAGCCTCATACACATGTAAAAAAAATATTAAAAATAATGGAAGCATTGATAATAAAAAAGAAAAAGCCAGTACTCAATAACATCAACTAAGAACATGCCCACAATGTACTGACTGTGTTTGGGGAAAAAAACAAACATTCTTATAACTCTAGGTACATATATAAAACATCTGTACATTGAGTTTAAAATAAAAAATCATCCTTGATAATGGCTAAAAGAATAGTTGAAAGCACTTGGATATGCAGAACATTTGGACAAATTTTATACACTTTATGTCCAGTGAAGACAACACTTATATGAACACAAGAAAAATTAAATAAAAATCTTAATTGCAGTACCTTGTAAGTCATCAGTAATGAAACTTGAATAAAAAGGATTTCTGCCCAGATAAACAATTTTATATATATATGTATAATTTTTAATAAATTTGAGTTATAGGCCTAATGTAGACTAGCCCCACTGTCTAGCTAATATTTTCATGCTAATTTAATAGTGCTCAAGATAAATAAATCCTTGAGTAGCATGTGTAAGACTGAATTAAAAGATGAGAAATAAAAATAACATATGATAATTCTTAACTATAATATATGATAGAATTGAATTAAAATGCTATCGTAATATATGTTGAGATTTTACAGTTTGACTTGTGCTGCTCGACAATCCCAAGAATGAAACTTGACTCGTGTGTAAACTCTTTTCATTTTCTATTACTTAATCCTTTAATTTGTTGTGTATATAGATCTGTGTGTAGATGTGTGTATATAAATGTGTGCAGGTGTGTGTATATAAATGTGTGCAGGTATATATATGTATGTATGTATGTATGTATGTGTGTGTATGTATAGATATATGTATATAGATGTGTGTGTGTGTGTGTATATAGATATGTGTATATAGATGTGCATGTGTAGATATGTGTATATAGATAGGTGTATATATGTGTATATAGATATGTATATGTGCATAGATATGTGTATATAAATGTGTGTGTAGATATGTGTATGTGCATAGATATGTGTATATAAATGTATATATGTGTGTGTAGATATATGTATATAAATGTATATAGATGTGTGTGTGTATATAAATGTGTCTGTGTGTAGATATGTGTATTATAGATAGGTGTGTGTATATATATATATATATATATATATATATATATGTGTGTGTTTCTCTAGATATCTGTATATAGATGTCTGTGTAGATGTGTGTAGTTATATGTGTGTATGTATGTGTGTGTATATATATATATATATATATATAGAGAGAGAGAGAGAGGTTTGTGTAGATATATGTAGAGATGTGTTTGTAGTATGTTT